CATGCATAACTGAGATCCGGGTCCGGAATGGTGAAAATGTGCGATTTTGATGCATTTTCGGCTTAAAATGGCCGCTATTCGGCTATCGTTAATCGGATCATGAAAAAAATGCATGTGCATATGTCCCATATAATGTGTGATGTATGAGTGAAGTTTGAACTTAATCGGTCCATGCATGTTTGAGATACAGGTGATCACGGACGCACGGAAGCACGGACGGACGCACACAGGGCAAAACATAAGTCCCCGTTTTCGGACTGCGTCCGAACGGGGACTAATAATGAACTCCCTGACAACCCATAATGGACCCAAGCACATCCATCTCTGAACAAAAGAATCACGTAACACGTATCATCGCTATTAATCCACGACGTGTGTGATGGATACCTACCGAAGATCAGTAAACTCCGATGGGCATGCGCAAAGTGACTCATCAGAGCGCTGGGCCGTACAAACCACTCAGAAGTCAAAACAAGACTGGCAAATTTTATGTATGACGATGATTCACGAATTACGTGCGGAGCGAAAAAATACCCGAGCTGGCTAGAGACTATTTTCGTGCACTCATGTTCCAAACACACGTTAGCCGAAATCGTTCCACAGAACCACCCATGACCTCGCAACCCCAGACTTTAACACTCACCTCTTTGGACCAGTTACTTTGTTCAGTTTGCAACTTTCGGTGCAAGACGTCCGTCTTTTCTTTGAACTGCTCAAGTTGTTCGTAAAGGTCCTGCTTCTCTTTTTTCCAAGCTTTGGCTTCCGATACCTGCTGTTCCATGATGTTCTCCTTTTCTAGTTCTTTTCTTTTGTCCGATTTCTCCCTATCTTCTTCGATCTGCAGTTTGTACAACTTTAGAAATGTCGCGATTGCAAAACGAACGACACAGAAATTCGGTAAAAGGGAAGAAGGGAAGAGTTAAATTAAGGTTTCCAGGCGGGATTTATTTAAAGCGGCATGCTACGAAAGAGCATGCGCAATTATAAGTGATTTATGCAAGAAATAGAACCATTTTCTTTCATGAAAATACTCAAAGAATTTTTGAAACATTCGGAAGACGACACTAAAAATTTAGAAATTTCGATCAATGAACCATTTTGGGGTTTCCGATACAAGTGATATGTTTGATTACGTTATTAAATCGTACTTATAACAAACTTTCGCAACATCGCGAAGTAAAATTAACAATATGGCGTACTTGATGACATACTCTCGTAATATCACGTGATATCGAAACCTGCAAATCGTTTAGTTAATGTTTCATACTGTAGTAAACACCGTAACGTGCATAAATTATATTATCACCATCCCATAATACTACATCATTGAAGGCAAACTATGTCATTATAGCCCCACAACCATTAATCTACGCGGTAACATGGTAGAACAGCTTGCATGCTTGATAACAAGTGTTGCGACATATCATGCACACCACATGCCATCTTTAATCTTATATTAATAATTCGTCTCACTTTGTTACACCACTCTCGTCACAGTGCAGAAAATATACCAAAGCATATATGGATAGAGTAAGGGTTTGTTGTAAGTAAATTGTGAAAGTCATTTTCGTTTTACAATTGAACAACATACAGTGATTTTCTAGTAATTTCGTCCCACCGCACCGACAATTGTATACAAAGAATAAATACCCACAATAAATCGTTAACATCTATTCCAAAAATAATAGAGTTGAGAAATACAATGGCGGAAATACGCATACCATACACTACAAGTTGAAATCAACACATAACAACATACACGTCCGACTTGCTCCCGGATTCGTGTTTTGGTATCGAACAGATGTAACAAACACGTTATATATAGCAAAATACAAATAAAGCAACATTGATATTTGACGGATACAGACTGTAACTATAGTAACATACCTCTTTGATCCGTTGTTCGTATTCTTCTTTCTCTTTAGCACGAGCATGCCGCTCCTTCGTCACTGTCATCTTAAGTGTTCGAACCTGATCTTCCCACTCCGCCATCACGGCCTGGCACTCGTTAAGCTGTGGTGATCAAACACATCGTCAGCAAAACAAGGTCGCATACAATTAGAAGGCAGTTAAAATAGTCCAAAACGAGGCCACGACTTGACAGGAAGCTCCCAGACGCAGAGACAGTGTGATATATGCTGTTATATGCTACAATGAATAATATTGCACAACGTGGACAGATATGGAAGTACGAGTTATGTTGAAAATAAATAAATAAAGCAATCAGACTTGTGTTTTTTAACAAGAAGTCGAAAATATCACTTTTTACCAAAAATTGCAAAAATATTCACCAAAATTAGAGCATTAAAGATATCATTACAAAATGAACAAATCTGAGAGAGGTCCACATGTAGTACCTATATATGTAATATCAAAGCAATCGGACTTGCCATTTTTAACAAGAAGTCGAAAATATCACTTTTTACCAAAAATGACAAAAATATTCACCAAAATTAGAGAATTGAGGATATCATCATGAAATGAACAAATCTGAGAGAGGTTCACATGTAGTACCTAAATATGTATTATCAGGGCAATTGGACTTGCTGTTTTTAACAAGAAGTCGAAAATATCACTTTTTACCAAAAATTACAAAAATTGAAGGTATTATCATGAAAGGAACAAATCTGAGGGAGGTCCACATGTAGTACTCATATATATAATAGCCAAGCAATCGGTCTTGCTGTTTTCAACAAGAATTGGAAAATATCACTTTTTACCAAAAATTACAAAAATATTCATCAAAATTAGAGAATTGAAGATATTATCATGAAATGAACAAATCTGAGGGAGGTCCACATGTAGTACTCATATATATAATAGCCAAGCAATCGGTCTTGCTGGTTTCAACAAGAATTGGAAAATATCACTTTTTACCAAAAATTACAAAAATAATCATCAAAATTAGATAATTAAAGATATCATCACGAAATTGACAAATCTGAAGGAGGTCCACATGTAGTACTTATATGTATAATATCAAAGCAATTCGACTTACAGTTTTTTATAAGAAGTCGAAAATACCACTTTTACCAAAAATGACAAAAATATTCACCAAAATTAGAGAATTGAAGATATCATCACAAAATGAACAATCCCAAGGTACATATACACCAAGTATCAAAGCATTTAGACTTGTAGTTTTCAAGAAGAAGTCGATAAAGCAAAACATTGACACGGACGACGACGGACATTCACTCATATGATAAGCTCCGCTCGACAAAGTCGACAGCGGAACTAAAATGTAAAGTTGACGCCCAAGGACAACGAAATCGACGGACAATCAGTAACACAAATAGCTCCACTATGTCGATCAAGTCGACAGCGGAGCTAAAAACGAACGAACGATCGACGCATGCGCGTTGCTGCGCACGATTTCATTGACCAATCATAACATGCATTAACATTAGGTATATCTTACGAAAGATCATAACCCAGTGTGTAACTCAACATATAACAACATATTAAATAAAATATATTATAAATCTGGAACAGAAAACAATAATGGCTCACAGGTGACAGTGCATGTTTAATTTATCTCGGCAAAACTTTGATATTGCACGGTAAAGCCCAAATATTTCACGGCAAAACTCCACCATTCAGTTTGCGGCAAAACTCTACAATTTAATGGCAAGGTTCCGCAATTTGACGGCAAAACTCTATTATTTCACAACATAACTCCAAAATTTCAAGACAAAACAGCAAATCTGTACAAGTTTCTGATATCCTGGGGATAAAATTGTTTTCAAATCATGAGAAAAGCGAAATTTGTCATCCTATATATTACAATACAATGGATATAGTACTGGACAATTTTGTGTCATTGGGCATGGAAAAATGAACCATCACCTTTTGCAACTTAGAAATACCACTAATCACCTCCCATACCAAATTATTAACATTAATTATTAATTTATAATTTTCGGGTGGGTTATTTTTATACCCTCATAAAAACTGCATTTTTTGCAAGAGTTTTGTTTCTCTGGTTCAAGTCAATCTTGTCAACAGGAATAGTTGCTGGCACTTACCTCAAAACGCAATAGCTCTTTTTCTCTTTCGCGATAACAAGTGTCATCCGAGCAACTTGACAAAGCCTCTTGGGGAGTTTGGGTCGGAACCATAACAACCTTCTTTTCCAACGTCATTTCCTCTTTCCGGTGTTCTTTCGACGTGTCTGTGAGGTGTTCCTTAAAACAATGGAAAATAATATTTATGCATCATAGCTCAGACATATACAGATATTTATAGAAATTATTGCACACTTCACGAACTGTAGCCCCAATAATTACATGTAAACCTTCTGAATAAGAAGATTTTTAGTTCGGGATTACATATATAGCCATTCTGTGGATTTAATTATTTGATAAACTATCGCCCTCACATTAGCTGTGTAATGGTTATCTTCTAACAGCCAAATGCGTTATGTAATATGCAAATTACCTCATGCTCCGCTTCCTTCTGGGCAGGTTCACTAGACTGTTTCAACTCCTCTTGCAAACACTGCGCATGCCTCTCTACGTTTTCCAGTTGCTTTAGCAACGCCTCTTGTTTCTCCACCGCCATGTTGAGTTCCTTCTCTAAACTCGCATGCTTGACAGTCGCCTCAGTAGACGCCCTCTCTATTGTCTTCTGTGCCAGCTTCAATTCAGCCTCCTGCTGCTCTTGTACTTGCTCTTTTCCCTTAACCGTAGACACCAAGTCCGCTGTGAAGACAGGCATACAGAGTTATTAGAATGAGTAACACACTTGCCTTTCAGTAACACTTAAGCATCACATTCACCCACTTCAAATAACGCTTCCGTATAAACTGCCATGACTCAAATTGTTCAGACGCATGCATGATAACATTATGACTTGCAGTGTTAGACTCTCTTCAAACATACTATGAAAACACACTAATATATCGGTATGTGGAGCTGATGCTCAAGCATAAATGGGACAAAAATAAACATGCTAGGGTGCCTGACTGTGTGATGAGTTCAATATTCATTTCGCCAGGCCATGTATTTACTTTGTAAATATTGCAATAGAACCGCAGCTATAATGATTAACGATCGAAATGTTGACACATGATAGCTTAAGTAATTTGTTTTAATAAAACATAGCAAGACATACGTATAGAAAGATGATTTCTGATCTGCGTGAATGCATCTCAAACAATATTGAAATACAATATATATAAACTTTAACCTTTTGTGTTGATTTGTGCAGACATTTTCCAAATATTTAAAAAAAAAATGGGTCAACCAGAGTAGAGAGGATGGGCTGTAGCAGAACAATAGACTAAAAAAATCGGTTGCATACGACTCAGTTTCTTCTAGTACGCTGCTTATTGGAATACAATTGCAAAGTCATGCTTGGATAATTCAAAAGTAGTTGCCTGGCAAGCTCCAAATCCCCGATGACTTACTACCCTTAATATGGCGATATAAACTACACAGATAAATATTCTTATGAAGAGTATGTGACCTGCTGAGAATGAGGATATATGCACATGCATGTTCTATATAAGAGATGTACACATACATCCAGCCAAATTCTACAAAGCTACAGCCGCCATTGCACTTGGGTATGTCAAATATATCCATGTAAGTTGTTATGAAAAGGTCTTAATCAGACAAATCTAAAAGAACCCGAGGCAAAACTTTTTGTTCGTAGACCATAAACAGCAGAACGAACCGATGGGGTATTTTATGGCGACCAAGGAATGTGGTCTAACATTTTGAAGTAGGTCTCACACCAGTCCCTTCTGGACAGGTGAACAATTTCCAGTCTATAAGATTTACGACTCATGCTAACAAGAGATCAAAAGGTCACGATAATAGTCACCCTGATTGTTTGTTTACACATCTGTCAAATTTGTCCGCCGACGCTTCTGACGTAACTGCAATGCATGCCGGGAAATTTCGCGTTCACACCGACAGGGGCGGTCCTTATTGACACATTGAAAACGAATTCCCAGCATGCTTTGCGAGTGAAATGAAGCAATTGGTTACCAGGGTTGTTTACGTACACGTAGGCGTTTAGAGCATATGTAAGTTGATATGGGTATATCTATTCCAATTATCAAATAATCCGGAAAATGGTATTTTTAGAATAGTGAAGACACTGGTCTGACAGCTATCAAATGCAATTAGTCAGACTATGTTTTGATAAAACAGAACAAGTACCATGCGAATTTTTGATAACTCATTATTGCCATCCGGCTACGAAGGGCTGGCTTCTCAATGTTTTACTTTTCCCGCCGAAATCACCAAGTTTCATCGAAATAGATCTAGTCATTGCATAATCTATTAATTTGTTGAATAAAAACGGCGGGAAAAAAATTAATATAACATTGAATAGTCTGTTTCCAACCATCAACTTCAGTTTCCTCTGCCATTAATCATTTTGCACAAATTCCCTTTCAGTACAATTTTTATATACTGACCTTTACTTAGTGGACCTAGTGTATTTGATTATAGAGGGCATTATTCCAAAATAAGTGCCCTCGGCACTCTCGGCATTTATTCACCAAATCTTGACCAAAATTAGACTTTAAATATTTATTTTTTTGAAACGATATGTAAATAATTTTTAATGATATGGTAGTAAATGGTCAGTATCGAAAACGTTGAACATTCATCGCCGTCGGAGACGTTCTGCCTATATAAATGTTAAAATGACCCCTTCCCCATTGGTGTCCGGGGAATGTGGCTAAACATGTTCGTGCGCCATGTGGTGCGGTTTTAACAGCTGTAAATGACTAAATGTCAATGCATGAATTAGTATATTGTGAACGTACATGCACGTTTCAAAGGTTAGAAACGGTGAATAGGTCAATATGATAAGAGCCAGTCTACAAATATCAACTACATGTACACGATGATTAAAGAGGGAATGGTTCAGAACGCTAGGTGACATGACTTGAATAAAATTAAAAGTAAAAATGTTTTATTTCTTTGTTCTACGTAATTTTACCAGTTCGACAATTAGGTTAACACCGAACCACGGCACATGCACAAGCCTGTTTCTAAAACGATTCTCCCCGATAACGATGAGCCTATTGTTGTAAATGTCAGTTTCAATGACGTCACATTACGAGTGTGAGGACCAACATTCACATTACGGAGAAGCAAAGCAGAAAGCAATGTGAACTTATGATTCGATAAATTTTGAGTCTGATGGACTGTTTAATAAACCTTCGGCTGGCGGAATGCATTAATTATATTAAAGCTGTCGGTTGTTAAAGATCGTGCACTGACAGGCATTTGTGTTCATACCATTATCTGCATTAATGGGTTTGAGATAAAAAACACAATATATAACAAATTGTAAGATTTCAAAGTTTTGCAATTAGAAATAAATATACAACAGTAAACTTGTGAGATACACACGTGAAAAATATGTTTCAGTGAGCCCTATTATAACACTTCATTCAATAAAGAGTCCGCTGCTTGCACCAGCCAATGGAAACAAAGAAAATATATGCGTATTGGGCGGCATGTTTCACCACGTGACCCATACCATCCAATTGTAAACAGGCAATACACATTTTAGGAATAATGAGGCATATTCACTAATCTGAGACTCTGTAGTTAACGAAGACACTTAGACATGCAAAAATGACATTAAAAGTGAAAGTTGCAAAAACCATTGGTGTGATTTAGAGAAAAAAAACACGCACAAAAAGAGGTTATGGGTTAAAATTCAAACAGCGAAACCCTGTACAATTTAAAATGTGGTGGTGCTCGCATTTTGGAGGTAGCACAGATTGCACAGATACAACTCTATATTTGCACACCATGTTTTATTGTTGCGTATTTGAATATTAAATTAAATTAAAATCAGAAGTCAGATTAAGGAGCACCTGTTGCATATACATACACATATTTGAAAGACAATGGTGAAGAAAAAAATACAGAAAAAAAGAAATACAATGATAGGACAGTGTTGTTCAGGAAAACTAGTTTAAAATAAAAACCAGAAAAAAAGAAAGACACAGTTTTGAAAGCAAGTCAACATTATTAAACATAAACCCACACTTTGGTACAGAAACACTTAAAACATTCCGTCACCATGACAACGGTGAATATATATGTGATAGACCAGTTAAAATCTGGTCTCTAGTAGACACACCATAAAGAAGAAAATACACAAAAGTCAGGAAAGTTGGAGTATCGTGCAGAAAATCTTTAGATTAGCACATATCTGAAAGTTGCACACGTAAATTAAAGAGATATTAACACATGTTTTAAAGAAGTCAGGCAAAGAACACTGTATAAATTTCATTAAATTGACATTTCTATGGAGCATGTCCACATTCCAAGTATGGAGTCCCTGATATATCGTCTGCCACTCTGTATATTAGTCTTATGAAGTTTGAATTGCGAGATCTGAAATCTAATTAGTCTAATGTCAATGAACTAATGGCTCTGTTACGATTGCATCGGCTAGATTTAACAAAGAAATATCGCAACTGTAGGACGAACAGCGTATTAACAAATTCAAATTCGGAAATTTATTTTAGTTTATTCGCGTTTTTGGATTTGGCGAGTCGCTTTTACGCCTAACATATGCCGATAGCTTCTATAAAGTTCTAACAGCGAAAAATGCCATTTCGCCATGTTTTAATTATTAATATGTATAAATCGAACGGTTTTATGCATAATTAATCCGTTGAAGTAAAGTGTACAGACGTCATTCCAAACAAGCGTCATGTCAACTATCAACGGAAATGTCGATATATTTTAAACTACACGGGGTCAAGAATATTATTCATTCACTTAATGTAGATCAATTAATATTCATGAATGAGACAGTAATGTTGTCGTCCAATCATGCACTACCAGACTAATCAATAAATCCGTTATGTACTACGGCTTCCTTCTCGGTATCTAGCCTCAACGACACATCGCCCTCTATAGTTGGACGGCCGTTTGTTCGCACGTATTTAGTTTAGTAAAGCAAAGTGTGTGACACCTGCCATGGTTTCAAATCAATCTCTTGAAGGACTTTTGCTAAGTTTTGAATAAATGACAAAACCTTACAAAAATTAGACAACTCATCATAATCTGATTAACTTGAAAACGCATTATCTCAAAATATGTACACATCCTTGGTTTGCTGATTGTCACCAGTCTCTTGATTTGTAATATGTTGCAAGCACAAGAAACTTGCTTGATAGAAAGCTGTTTCTGTTCTAATACTAAAGCTACAATAAGAATTATGAAACTTAGTGGTTGTGATAAGATCAAGTGTTGTACTTTGGTTCTCTTACAAGGTATAAATCGCCCTTATTTCGCGATAGCCATTGCTGACTATTTACATTCCAAGCCTCGTTTTCGCAAAGATGGAAAGCATCGGCGGCCAATCGTAGGTATCGTATCATTGCAGGCAATCTGAAAGCGAGGCTTGGAATGTAAATTAGTCTGCAATGGCCGCCGTATGAACTATCGACGAATGACACCTTAGTTTGAAGTTTTCTTCATGCCATCGAGAACAGTGTCGAAATGTCAACCAATTGACGAGAAGTCTAAGCTTACCATCTCAAGTAAAGGTCATCATGTTGGTGTATAGTCCATCTGATATCAAACATTCATTGAATGGGCACGAGGTACATTTTTTAAATGTTTTTTTTATCAGTGTTAACATATTTTGAATAACAAAACTTAGATTGCAAACTGTTACATTGTCATAACTCCTTGCCCCTCAAAGTAAGCATGTGTAATGTACGACACGCAGTTGTTGTATAACCTCAAAAAACTTCAATATGTTTGCCGAATGGCGCATACCATTCAGACAAAATACTACATACACACTGCACAATATCATCAAAGCCATATAAATTCATTCATAGTAACACTCATTCTTATGTAAACTGATATAACAGACCAATACACTACGTGAGGGTTTATAATGCACGTGGTATTCTGATTGATTGCGTCATATATTCGTAGTTGGTACACGACGCTCACGGAAACAGGCTCGTGTGTGTGTGCACTACATTTTTCCAAACAAAAAATCACCTGCCAATTAATGGTGTGACAGGTACTATTCTAGTAATATTATATGACTATCTACAATGAAGATGCAGCAAAATGGCAGAGTGTATGACGTACTGGGATAATACCACGTGACACCGAAACTCGCAAATAGTCTATTGTGTGATGTGCATTCAAATACCAGTCATATATTGGGGACCAACACAATAAATGGGTCAAGTCAAACAATAAAGATACCCACAGAGAAACCCTGTGACATTTCGGATATGTTCGAGAATGTGCAGTAAAAAAATAGCATCACAAAGGCAATAATTAACAATGTAAATAAAATAAAATTGTCGGTGTAACTACAAAGAAAAGAGGAAGACAAAGAGGTTCAAAGGTCAATGAGAGATGTGAATCATGGGATATTTATCAAGTTAAAGGTATAATGAGCTGAGCCTCATGAGGTGGAAGAGCAAGGTTCAAGGGTTACATTCGGAAGGACCTAGAGGTCAAGAGTTGCCAACACCTAAAGTCAAATCTTATGCTTTACCTAGTTGTTCCTCTAAATGGTTGACCTTTTCCTGCAGTGCGGGCAAACGATCACTTTCTGTAATATGGTCTGGTGATGATGGCGGCGCACGAGCAGACGACTCACCCTTCTTATAACCCATTAGCTCTTCGTTTAGATTGTCGTTTTGGATTTCAACTTCAACAACCTGTTTGCGCATGCGTTCATTCTCCTGCTTCAACAAACTAATCTGCGACTTCAGCTTAGCTTCAGCCTTGTGACCTTTACCCTTCGCGGTGCCATGACCTAATGCGTCTTCGTTTAACCTTTTGTAGACAGAAACCTCATCCTCTAACATTCTGGTAATAATTTCAGCCTCAACTAGCCTTTTGCGAATAGTCATGTTCTCTTCCTCGCGCATGCGTAAATGTTGTTTAAGATCAATATCCTCTCTGGAATCGTTCTTGCAAAGGATGCCCGCAGTCGTGAGCTCTTCGTATTTTGACAACTTGGCTGATAAATGGTCAATTTCTGCCTCGGCATCAAGAAGAGTATGCCGAAGATGTTCAGCGTGCTGCTCCACCTCATCCAATCGCTGCCGTAGCTCATTATTATCACCACCATCTGCAGCTTCTTCTGCTGCAAAGTAAATAAAAACATAATGAAACTATTGGTTACCTTGCCCACGACTTGTGAACCATATAGCGGTTTGTGATGACATTTATTCTATAATGGTTACAAACTCAAGGAAACAAGTTAATTTATCAAGGTATTTGGGTTTAATTATCGGGGTGGGACCAGTGTGTATATGGAGGAATCACTGGACTTCCCGTTTAGTAGAGATGTAAGGGCCAAAGGTCGAACATCATACACAATTTCAAAGCGAGTCATAATAGAGTATAGACTCATATAAACTAAATAATTGCATGCTTCCCAATGAACCATAACACATACACTTTGGAGCTATTTAGGAGATATAATACTTGAATATGTTGTCAAGGCAATAAAACTGAGGACGGAGGCTACTCATTTTGATTGAGCCAGACTTGTCAAAAGAAATAGGTACAAATGAACAGAGTAAATCTATCCCCATTTTTGGATTCCATTCCAATGGTATTTTACAAGAACAATTAATTAATGAATCTTCTTGTACAGTATTAATTTCAATTAGTGTCAATTTACATAAATACAAAAGATGAATTGTACACTTTGTCATGTGCTAATGAATAACATGACATTGAAATGATCCTTCTAATTCCCTTTTCCCTAGAACCTTAATCGGAAGTGGCAATAGCTAGTCGTGGCCAACATTTTCAATAGTTGAGGAAGAGCTTTGTCTCATCATCAACTCCAGACGCTGTACCTTGACTAAAGCTACTCAGTCTGATTTATAATAGCGCTTTACAAAATATGTAGCTAAGACAAGTTATGTACAGTTATCTGTAGTAATTACAAATAGCTTATAAATGCAACTGTACATATTACATTCTACATATGAATAAAAGTGTGGCCGGTTTACAATCTGCTTAAGAACAATTGGACACGTGATCAATAATGTTATAATTTGTCCTCTGCAACAGCAACAGTTCGGTTCGTGCACAGGTAGATGGGTAATTCGAACACTTGTTAGTATCATGTATTTCTGAACTATTGACTTCGTCATTTAAATGAATAGACAAACTGGGTCCGAACCTCGATTTCGTATTGGTAGGCAGTACCTATAACCCTACTCTATAATGGATCTTGTTGGGATGACTGTACAGTAAACGTTTTCGTCGGATTGTCATGGTATGTGTCGTTAAACTGTGATTGTCATTATGTGTATCAACAAGTCATTGAAAATGACACAGTCCCCGTTAAGTTCTCTTTGTGCTTGTCATATTAAAGCGGAGGGGTTGTCGCAAGCGTGTCCTTGAAACTTGAGTTCCAAGTGGCGTATACAACAGATTGTTTATGTACATGAAAACACGCGTTTCGTGTCATAGTAATATGGCCAAAATAAAAACAGCCGTTATTCAGCCATCTTTGATCTGATTATGAAACACAGAGATATGTATGATGTATATGCCAAAT